CTTTTCATTTCAGTGAATACAGGGAGTGTGGCAGTTGGAGAACCTAGTCACAGAACAAGGCTAACTGTGCAACTTCTTGCTACATTTATTTTCTCAAGGAAGAAATAAATATTTTAAAGTTAAGCAATACTTTGCAACAGTCTGGTTTTAACTGGTTTTTTAATGCTGACAACACAAGGAGAGCCTCCTTTGTTTTTTACCCCTTGAAGATTTGTAATGTGCAAGTCTACAAGACCAACAGTTACAGGACCCATTTTCAAACAACACCAGGCAGAAATACAGCTGTTGGCAGCTTCTTTTTTGTCTAAAAATTAAACCATTGAGATAATAGATTCCTTATGTGAACTTCAGACTCATGACTGGACCTTCTTTTGCTTGGAGAATGTCACAAAATAGTAATCTGAGGATAAAAAAGGGACAATCTACTCTGGTCTTCCAAAACTAAATAGTTGGCAGCTCTTCAGCTTGGGAAAGGATGGGAAAAAAAAGAGTGGAAGGTTGTTTTGGAGGTCAGGAAAATCATCAGTTCTGAAAAAGCATACTAAAGGAAGTCTTACTTTTCATAGCAGAAGAGATGGAAAGCACTCAACAGCAGATCAGCTGAAAGTAAATGGAATAAGTCTTTAAAATGGGCATTACCTGATAAAACTACTTAATCAGAGCTAAGATATACTGTAAAAAACATGTGGTTAATTAGTGATTCCGAAACAAAAGGTCTCTGGTTCAGGAAGTTTGTGTACAGATGGCTACTAATAATTGGAGTTACTTGTCCACTGTGTTTTGAATGTCTTTTTGCTGAACATCCCATAATGAAGAAAAATACCAATTTAGATGCAATCCTAATGATTTCATCACCTGATAAGGATTATAGTTGATTTAAAGGGGTTTTGAGCAGCCTTTGGAACATTCTCTTGATTAGTTCACAGTTCTGCTTATGCACAATGTAAAACATTTTGAGAATGTTTTTGTTGAAATGTAGATTCCAAATGTCACAATATAACCTGTACTGTTTTCTCTCACTTTACATAATATTCCAGCAGCCACATTCTGTTTCATGTTTGGCATTTTGCATGCATAGTGGATTGGTATGCAGAAAATGAGGAAGTTAATAATTCATCTTATATTCTGACTGCACAAATATTATACATAGGGAGCTCTTTTGTGTCAGAAAGCAGGATATAACAAGTACAGCTGTTGTGTTTAACAGATTTGGTTTGCAGGAAAGCTTTTGGGGTTCCCTTTCATTTGAGTTTATTATTTGCAAGCGACTTGCTGACTTTGAAACTTCATGTAGTGTGATATCATGATGGGTAAATGGCCAGCATCTTGGGGAGGACAGGAAAGGAAAAAAGTCTAAAGTAATGTCAAGCCAGACATTCATGTCAGATATAAATCTGCTGGACTTTTTAAAAGGCCAGGCTCACATTAACTGAGAGTGAAAGCAGAAGTAATGTGAAGAAAAGGGTGCAGGGAAATGCTTTCAAATGAAGATATGGGAAAAGTTGTTTCATTTTTAATTTATTAAAAATATGGGATTGTACTTGTGATTTGCATCTCGACTTGAATTTTTTTCCCCAATTGAAGTAGAAAAAGATTGCCCTGGAGGATAAGTTAGAGTAGCCTGATAACTTTTTCTGTAGAAAAATCCTCTGAGTTACAGTTGTACTGAGGCCTTACAGTGAACTCTAATATACCAGACTTTTTTCTAAAAAATTAAAAAATTGACAAGTCTTAGGATATATACTGAAATTTATATGTTCCCTCAGCTGCAGTTTCTTAATGTTCTGAGCTGACATCAAGGTGCTTTAAGCTGCTAGCCCTGTACAGGTTGTGATTTTATTTCTGAACTCAAGAGACACTTGAACTCTATCTGGCCTTGGCTGATTCTATGATTGAACTTTGCTTTAAGCAAAAGTGGTTTTTTCCTTCCTCACTTGATCTTTGTTATTATGAAAGTCTGGATGTATATGTACCCTCTTTAAGTTGTTTTGTTTTTTTAAGAAAATTGCAGCAGGTGAACAAAAGAAGCTGCTTTTGTCTTTCTGTATCCCATTTTGTGCATGTGTTGACATTGAACATACATGTAGGTATTAATTGTAGTGGGGATTTTCCTTTATTGATAGCAATATAAGTCTGGTCCAACTACTGCCTCTTTTATAAGGGGTGCACAAAGCTATAAAAAGATGCAGGTTGTGCTTCCCCTCATGGTTCAACTGAACCTGCAATGATCCCAGCTTTTGTTTGGAATTTATTTTGTATCTTAAGTTTGGTTATGATTTTTTTGTTGGCTGTTTGTTTTGGAGATTTTTTTAATTCCTCTTCGGCTAGGCTCCTTCAACGTATTTGGGGACCATTATTTAACAGTTATTTAAATCTGGCATTGGTGCTGGGCTGGCAGCCAGTCAAGCTTCACCCCTCCCCGCAGGCTGAGTGCCCTGATCTTTCTTAGTCATCTTTCTTTTGATGTGTTGGGAAAGCATCTTGCTTTTGGTTTTAACAAGCTATTGTTTCTTGCTTTGGCTTGCCACCTTATGGTTATGTTTTAACTTGTCCATCTTCCCTGTTTCCCTCGAGAGAACACTTGAGTTTCTTTTGTTTCTTAAAAGTCTCTTTATTTTAATTGCCACCTTTAATCAATTTCAATGATTTTTTTTTGTCCTTTTGGAATTTAGGCGTCTTATCACTTCTCCTGATTCCCTAATATGTCCAATAGAAGAACACTTTACTCTTTCAGTTTCCTAACTTATTTTTAACAAGCTTCCCCTTTTGCATGTAGTTCCCATGTGCTTCAGCTGATCGCCTGTAAGTTCCTGTATTTCTGTTGCATGCTATACCTAGTGTGGCCTGGAGAACTGATGAATTTTGGTGTAATGTGCTTGGCTGGGCTAGATCTTTGTTTATTGCTCTATTCTTTTATGGAACTGCACTGGGTAGTACTGCCTGTAGCATGTCCTTGCTGGAGACAGCTGACATGGATGTCTGTAGGGATGATCAAGTGCACAGACAGTAAAAAAGAGGGGAATAGGAAGTAATCTCAACTGACTGGATGGACTCTGTTTCTTTCATCCACTCCTTTTTCTTCTTTCGAGGAAAATTGATTTTGTATTGTAAAATACCAGTGATTTCATCTTGTATAATGCAACACTATATTGAATACTATAAAACAGAAGTCTTGACCTGCTCACAATACCTATCTCTTAGATTGAACTTGGAAATGGATTTAAATCCCCACAGCATGGGGGAGTTCTTAATCTATGTTTTACACATTTGTTGCTATGCTAACCCCCATCTGTGGGATGAGGTAAGGTATCACAAGAATCTTGTCCATTCCATTAAGGTGGTTTACTGTTTTAAAAATACTGCTGGAATACTTCATAGGGGGAGTGGATTAATGAAATAAGAACAGACCAAGCAGAGAAAATTTTGGAGGAGCTGGATTTAATTGCTTAGATCACCAGTATGAGGCAATCTAATTTTCAACACTGCTTTTAAGATGACTTTTCCATGTACCTAAATCATTTGGTTTAGTTGGCTTTATCCTTTTGTTCCTTTCTCTTTGTTGTTTCTTCTTAGGAAGGGGGAGGCTATTCAGCGAAGATCACTACCTTCTAATTCCTTGTTTTGTGCATAGCTTACAAATACTATCTATTTTTTGCCATATTTGGTACTTTTGGACTTGAATATTTATTAGTGAGGTGTTCTTCCTGAATGTTTGACTTTCTCAGCTGTAAAGAGGAGAGAAACCCTGATCAGTATTTTTAAAGTTTAGTACACGTCGTATCTATCAAAATTCCTGAAGTCTGATAATTGGTGGACAGAAGAGAACTGGCTTATGTTAGTTATTTACTTTGGTATTCAAAAGCCTTAGAATGAGATTCTGAGGAAGAGACTGACAGAAATTATTTGCATAAGAGCTAACTGCCATTACAGATCAAACTATTTATAATAAAGCATAGAATTGAACACTGGGGTTTTAAAGCAAAAATTACTGTGGCGGGCCTTAGGGTTTTGCATCAATCTTGCCATTAGTGTATATTCCCATATGAAAAAGTGGTTAGCAGTAAGGTAGACAAACTGTAGATGAAAAGAATGAAGGTAAGTAAATAAAAAAAAATTTGCAAAGATTTCATCAAACTAAAAAAGACTGCATAAAGGAGATAATTCTCCTTACTACAATAAGTAAAATAAAGTATAATAAAAAATGTGGCAGATGAGTAGCTTATATGGAGCTGTGTTGGCTTTCTAAATTGTATCTTATGTTTGTACACTGAATTCTTAAAGGCCTCTTTCACACCACACTGTCTTTCTCTCAACTTTGCCACAGCAAATGCAGGGCAGCTATAATATCAGGATTTCCATCAATTATCTTATGGCACTACAATTACTACAGAGCATCGAGTTAGAAGTGGAGCAAAAACCAGTACTGAATTGTTTGGTGAATAAAGGCTTGGGTGTATTTTTTTTGCTACCTTTCTTATGTCATACATTTGAAAATAACTTGTTTGCTTAGAGGTCAACTCTACTTGTTTTTATATGTTGTGTTCTAGCTGTTATTTATAAAGAAGTGTTGCCTTTTGTATAATAAGATTAGTTGAAGGTAATAGCTGTTCTGCTCAGGTGATTGCGCTAACACATCAATAAATTAATAATAATAAAAATATTGGACACAATTGTTAATAAATATATATTTGTGTTCTAGATCAAAAATCTTGAAATCCTGGTTATTCACTTACATGAAATATGTCTATGAAAGTCTTTACACTGCCTAATTTTTGCCTTGTGTTCTTGTATATTTTGACTCAGTCAAAACAGATGCTCTGCAATGGATCGTGTACCATATTTCATTCTCTCTGTGTAAACTTACTTTTATGAGCTTGTCCTTATATTTTTTCAGAATGGAAAGCATAGTTGTTATAGGACTTTTTGCTGTGAAAAAAGTGATTATTCTGGTCAGTTTTCTTGGAGTATCTTGTTTACAGTGTTTCTTTGGTTTATTTGAGGGCGTTGGGAGTTTCAGTGACAGACTACACATTTGAAGACTGTCAGCTGGCTTTGGCTGAAGGACAGCTTCGTCTACCTTCAGATACGTGTCTTTTAGAATTTGCAAAGCTTGTGAGAAGCCTTGGGTGAGCATATACAATATTTATATGTAAGGTGCATATTTATTGTATATCTATGTTTATATAGTTTTCCTATCATGTAACCATATTGCATTTATAAATATATATGGAATGTTGTCATCACACAATCAGGGAAACACCAGTATAAAATTGAAACAATACTGTACTTAACTTTCAAGCAGCACCCCTGAATCCCAATGACTAGAGGAGGTTGTAAAGTTCTTATTTTCCATCTGACAAGAGAGCAGAGTGAGTCTGAAGTGTTCATTCCTGAGCTAGAAGACACTTTCTGAAGAGGATCAGGAGTACTGTGGGATTCCCAATATTTGATACAATTAAAGAGTCAGTTGCTGTTTCCTGTGGAGACATCTGTGGAGGGAAAACAAGGGCTGACAATAGCAATCTTGTGACTGGATTAACCTTGTAATAGTGAGGACAGAGGGGTCACCCTTCTCTGAGAGGGTGGTGGTTGACATTTTGAGCAGGTCACTGCCAGATGGACTTTCTAATGCAGCTGTAGGTCAATGCATGCAGTGTGGGTCCTCTCTTCTTTCTTCCCATAGTGCCATTTCCTGATAGCTTTACCTTTCAAAAAAACCTCAGCAAAACTGAAAATTTTACATAAACCAAATAGTAGACTGTGCTGCTGTTTTCAAATTTTTCTCCTGCTTCTTCAGTGATCTTATTGAGCAACCATGAATTAAATGTACAGCCTCATCCTGTTAACTCTCAATATGCAAACACCCTTTTTCATTTCCTTGTCTCATCGCCTGAAAGTACAGAGTGTAGTTTAATGTTTCCATTGTGTATTTTATTTCCTTTCACTAATTTTTCCTTCAGCTTCTGTAATAAATGAAAATAAAGAAGAAAAAGCTCTCTTGGAGAATAAAGAATGTAGGATGGCACACATCATGAATTCAGAAGACAAGCATATATTAATCGATTGTCAGGACTTCCATCTGAAAAACTTCCATTAGGATAGGAGAGACTTCTAAAGGAAAAGGAAGAGTCTTACTTTGTTTAAAAGGCTTTGAATTTACACTACTATGGAAGAAAAACAAGCAAAACAAAACAAACCAACCACCCACATCTCTTATTATGCAGTTCATAATCCCAGGATTCAGTTTAATCCTCTTGTTAAGTTGTCTGGCTTCTGTCTGCTCAATTTAAAGCTGTTCTTTCAAATTATGCTTTTCTAGGGTTTTGTTTTGGCCTCTGAAACAGTTACATGCATTTGTGAGTGAGGTTCACTGCAGCCCAGAAGTTCTCTTTCTGGTATGAGCAATTAATCACTGGTGAAATATAATCCTCTCTGAATCTGGGCATGTGCCAATAAGAAGGATATTATGATGGTATTTTTCCGGCACAATTGGATGAAGACTGTAATATGACTTCATCTCTAATGCATATTTGATAATAATGTAGTCATTTTGCTGTTTATTCAAAGGTTTTGAGGCCAGGGAGGCATTAAGATCATCCACTAGCATCCCTAAGTAACTAGAACAGTAAATTTTATCCAATGGATTTTTCATTCAGTCTTAATACTTGTTTTTGAGCAATGACATATTTTCGAGGTAATGCCCAGGTTTAAGATTCCTATAGTAAGGTAAATTCAGAGTTCTTTTTGGTTTAGATTTTTTGAAATCAACTTTACACCTCAGTTTGCTGTACTGAAGAGTTACTTCTGCGCACATTATGTCTACAGGATTCATTATCATTGTCTGTAAAATTTGGTTAGCCTGTGCTCAGCTGGATGGGATCCAGCCCAGAATCCATGCAGGCGCAGCACTGAGTTCTCATGCTTCATCTAAGGATGTGCTTGGGCTCTGTTAACAGAGCTGTACAGCTGGCTTGTACCAAACTCTGTGATAAAATGACTGCTTTATCAATGAGATCAATTGATCATAGACTTATCTTCTCAAACTGTGCCTTCGTTACTCCTCAAGGAGTCATGTTTCTCTTCAGTCTGATAATTTGTCTGACCAACGAGCTAATTGCTAAACTATGTGCAGTCTATGTTATAGCTTTCATATCTTTTTTCATACAATGTAAATCCTCTGCTTCATTTAATTAATCTGTAATTAATGACCCCACTGTTTAAAGTGAATCTCTAGTTTTACTTGAACTGGATCTATTGCTATGTTCTGGCCATTGAATTTTGTTTGGATTTTGTGCCTTGCTAAAGACCTCTTTGGATATCTTCTTCAGGAAGTGTTAATACAGTTAACAAAGTCTAGTTTCTGTCTTTTTATGAGATACTTCTTATGAGCTGCTTTAGGGTAGTTGCCTGCAAGGAGATCCTTGAGTTCTGATTGGAATTGATTTGTTCCTATTGTTTCAAGCTTCTGTTTGTTCTAATTCCCAATATTACATCATCAAGTTGACCATGAGGATCCTTTTAGTCAAATCAGCTGTAGGCTACCAAGATCTGCAAGGACCTCAGGCCTGTTGCCTGTCTATTCTTGCTCACAGCCTCTACCATCCAGACTACAATGCAGACTTCTGCTTTCCATGTGTGCCTGAAATGGTGGTCCAGACTGTAAGGCAGAACTTTGTATCCCCAGAGTAATAACCCTCACAGCACACCCTGTGCTGTGACTTCAGAGTACTCAGAGGTCATCTACAACAAGGGGAAATGCTCTGGAGGATGTTTACCATCTGAATTTGTGATAAAAGCAATGCTCTCTACTACAGGAGGTGATCATGGATCAGGCATTACAGCAAATAACAACCATGGTAGCCCCTGCTTTTGTGGATCAAGGCAGGGTATGCCAAGAGTATTCAAGAAGGTCTGTTTTGCAGTTTTTTGCAATATACTTGCTCTATGATGGCAAGAAGTTGCACAGAAGTATGTCAGCAGACATTAAAGTGAATGTATTGTGCTTTTCTGGCTTAGGGCATATTTCTCTGTGCTTGCAGTTTACAGTAGCTAGCTACAAGATCCAGCTGTTCTTCCAGCTCTCTGAGACACTAGAAGGTTATTGGCAGATTCCCAGCATGCAAGAAATGAGCTTGTTTTCAAATAGTCAAATACAGCTAAAACTAGCTTACTTGCTAAAAATAGTGATAATTATGCTGTAAAATATTCTACCTTCAGGGATCTGGTTTTCCTTGTGAAGTCTGCTGTGAAGAATTTAATGTCCAGAGCTGTTAGTCTTGAAAAATGTCCTTTCCATCTTCATGGATTCAGGAATACTTCTTGTTCTCTTTAGTGTGCACTGACCTAAAAAATGAAGCAAAACACCACAACAGAAAATAATTTTATATATCATAAAGCCTAGATCTTGCATGGCAACTATTAAGCTAATAAGCATGGTTTCATGAGGGAAGACATTTGCTGTTGGCTTTCTATAATTTTTGGCCTCCATTGGGATAAAAGCAACTATTGTAAAGGAATTGAGACATTCAAACCTTTTCATATTGGTTCAGAACCCGTTATGAGATTTGCACGCGGCTTCTGAAGACTTCAGTTTACCAGCTTATGGTCATCAACATATTAATTACTTTCTGGTTTTGAAGGGCTAGAAGGAAGTGAGCCCACCTTGCATTACCAGAAGTACAATGCAGTCATACTGAAGTTGAAACAGTTTGCCTCACTGATCCACATACTGCTTTTGAGATTGCCTCACATCTCTTTCTGTATTTGCAAAACATAAACCACAAGATGCCTGTAAGATTTGTGGTGAGCTGTGTTACTTCCTGTACAAGATTTTGCCTTCAAGCTTCTATAGCTTTTCAGGCTTATTTACTGGTGAAGCAGAGATCTTGCAAGTCTTGAGTGCTACTCGCCACATCAGTGCTCCATCAGTTCTAGAAGACAATTAATTGCAAAGAAAATCTCTCTGATTTAGAGACAAATGTTACACTACATATTCTGCGTCAGTGGGGGCTTATCTCAAGGGAGGATTTAGATGCCAGCTGTCCTTGTGCTACAGTTAAAATCCATTTCAGCCTCTAGTCTGGGATGTATTATCAGTGGACACTTCTTGCATGTAATCCTGCATGTGAGAAGATGAGTTCTGTGTACGTCTCAAATCCTCTATGGATTTTTTTGTTATTGTTTCTTCTACTATTCTACTTGATCAAGAAAAGTGAATGTTTGCAGTAGGCTGTCTCACTCTTACACTGTCTAGGACTAAATCTTTAGATGCTTTAATGCTAGGATGAAGAACTTGTGAATGTTCTATAGGAGCCATGGGTTTCTGCAAGAATTCTTGCATGTTCAGGTCTTCCAGAAACACAGGTTGTGGCATGGTTTAGTTAGTACATATCACTAAGCCAGTATAGGTCACAACAGACAACATGGGAGTTGAATTTTTACTTAAGAGTTGTGACGTTTAGGAAGGGTCACTACAGCAAGCAATCAAGTTCTGGAGCTGATGTATCAGATCATCTTCCTATCAGAAATGCTCTTATCTTTTTTCAGAAGCTACTCAGAATGCTGTTATTAAGCATTTTATTTATTTTTGTTGCTGAGAGGAAGCTGCTGAGGAGTCCCAGCTGCAGTCCGAGAACAGTTCTGGTGTTAGCTTTTGAGTTGTGTGAATTACTACTCTTTCTTGCCTGCAGCAGCAAGCAGCAAAACAGGCAACTGCAGGAGGACATTGTAGGAGACTTTACTGGTATCTTTTGTCTTCCGAGTGGAAAGATGCCCAAGTTACCCCAAATCAGTTCAGAGGAGACGTGATCCAGATCTGCTTGATGTTGTATTAGGAGGGAAAGCTGCTTGTCTTTTTATCATACCTCCAGTACCCTTTATTTTATCCATAGTAAGATTATTCAATAAGGCTTTGTTTAGTCTTTATGGGTTGTTGGGGTTTTTTGGGGGTTTTTTGTTTGGTTTTTTTTGTTTGGGTTTTTGTTATTTGGGTTTGTTTTTTTTTTTAGCAAAGGCAAAACAGGAAGCTTGACTTAGGCAAACAACTAACCAACAACCATGCAGTAGATATCTACCTAAGTATAAAGCTGTTCATTCATCAAAGTCTGGTTTTGCCATGGGGAAGGACTGAGAAAATTCTGTCACTGTAGGAACTTCAAGAATTTTGTTTAGGTTACCTCATAATGGTGTCCAACTCAAGACTGAATGTGAAAAATGAGGACTGATAAACAGGATTAACAGTATAATCACTCTTACGTAATCCCTGAATTTTTTTTTAGGTAAGATGCATCATGTCCTTCCTGTTCAGTGACATTAGTAAATTTGGAAACATAATTGGTTTATGTTACTGTTCTACAATACAGCCATATTCGGGTGACCTAACTTCCACCTAGTTCTCCATGCTTGGAATTTATTAGCTAGTTCTAGACTGCGTTTCTTCCTGTTGAACTACTTACACATATGGTTTGTAATCAAGGTAGACTGAAGGACATGAGTTTGTCCACGTTTCTTAAGCCCTTGTAGTAATTCCTAATAAAAATTGAGAACTAATGGGAGATATAAAATTACAGAAATACATTCTTTTATAATAAAGTTGTTTAATAATTCTTAATCCAGACTTTGTAATGTTTTACAGTGTTATCCATTTTTTCATTTGGTATTTTGAAATATGTATTGTTAAAGCTGGGTTGATTTTTGAAATGTGCAAAAATGATATGCTTTATAGGCTGAAGCCAGAAACACTTGAAGATGATCTCAATAAATATGCTGCAAGTGCCATGCAAATGAAGAAAGAAAAGGTTGATCTCAAAGAATTTTCAGCCTACTTGGAATTTCCAGTTTCTCAGACATTAGAAAGTATGTTTTCACTTTTTGATGAGGTAAGAAACAACACTAAGTTTAAAAATTTTACTACCTTTGGTAAACTTCACTTTAACCTACTTCTGTTTAAATTAAATTCACTGAGGTTTGATTTCTGAGCACTTCACCATAAAATTTGCTTACTGTGCTTCCCTTTCAGCCAGGTAAGGGCACCTATCACCAGCTAAAAAAAGCAGTCCTTCAGGTAGAACTTAAAAGGTGTATCAGCTGGACAAAACCTATATTTTTTCTAGATGTAAAAAAGAGGAGGAAGGGTAGGGTCAGGCTAGACCTCTGCTATTGCTCATTGAAGCTGAATGCAGTGTCTGTTAGCTGATATTTCATTTACTTTGTGAATAAATGATCTGTTCTTCTATGGGCCTGAAACCTGAAGGATCTTGGTGAATGAGCCAGTTTTTCATTCCTCTGGCAATCAGTCAGAATGGGGAAATGACGATTATTATCTTTGTCTGGATGAGGTGCTGTCTGGACCAGGAAGTGGATATGTCCACAGTGTTCTCTCTTGGAGCAGATGTCATGTATTCAGGGCTTAAATTAGGGTGCGTTGTCCTCTGATTCTCTGGTTTTAATTTCAGCCCAGTGATTCAGATGGTTCAGTGGAAAAACCTTAAATATGCAAGTGAAGGGTGACAGTAGCAGCACTGTCTTCCAAGAATATTTAAACTGTGACTTTTGACTGAGGCTATGAAAAGAATCTGCAGAGCTTTCACCCAGGTTCTTGTCCTTGTGTGATTTCATTTCAGTGAGACTGTTTTTTTGTCACAGCACATGTAACAATCTTTCTGAGTATTCTGCATTTTTAGCAACTGTTAGTTATTTATGAAAATTCTCAGACACTGCACTATTTTGAGGGGAGGTTTTCCTTCACAGAATGAAGATGGTGTAATTGACATTCGGGAATTTGTCATTGCTCTGTCAGTTGTCTGTAAGCCATCCAAAACTCTGGAAACAATTCAGTTGGCATTTCAGGTAAGTTGCATTTTCTTGTTCTATATAGTTTGCTTATTTTTACAAACTATTAATACTGGCATTAGACTCAATAGAAGTTTCCACATTTCATTTTAATACTTAATTACATTTTAAAATAATATTAATGGAAAGTTAGATTAACAATTTGTGTTAATAGGGAATACATTGCGAGTGTAAGTTGTGTAAAATTATGACAGTTTGCTGCTTGAAGTTCTTTGTAGAACTCTGGTAGAATCCTTTTTAGCAAATTAAATCTGAAATCTCAAGTCCTTTGTATTGATTCCTCTAAACAGTCTGCTGAATTGTACTTGCTGCTCTTAGAATGTTTCAACAAATCTAATTTTTCAAGTTGTTAAAGTATTTTTTTAATAATTCCTACATGTTAATAGAGATTATTTTTTATCTCCTTTTTTCTTGTTAAAATTTTCTTCCCTTAGTCCTACCATGTATGTGTGGTGGTCCTGCAGTCTTTGCCCAGACTTGATGGTTCCCAGAAGTGCTCCTGATCTTGCTCTAGCCTCAGTGGTTTGTTGTAGCATCACCATAGATTGTTAATGCAAGCTTTTTGGGAAAGTGACAGCAGCAATGCTTAACCAATGGGTTTCTGATTTATTACTTTTAAATAATTAATTTCTTTAATTTTACTGTTTCAACATACGAACTCTGCTGCATCCTGCATCATCTTTTCCCTTTGCCTTGAATTCACATTGTCTTCAGTGTTACTGAAACTGAGAAGTGCTAAATCTTGATGCTGTCTTCTCTAGTGAATGCATTGTGCTCAGAGCATTCAATTGCATGGTGCTACACTGCAACCTTACTTTCTATGTAGTTGTATTCAGGTTCTTCAGCATGACGACTTTAACTACGTTTTGCTGAAGAAATGAGACTCCTGTGAATCCTTAGTGTTCACACGTATCGTTCTTACCTTTTGGCCAGAATCCAATAAATTTGGCAAACAAGGAAGGAGCAAAAATATTTGGTTCCTACAAATATTGTGGGAAATATGCCATTAGTAGATGCATTTATTGCTGCTTCTGAGGGAAAAGCAGAAAGAAAGGTCTCTGTCCTAACTCTGTCCGTTTCAGCTATAAAATGGCATAGAAAAATAGTCAGGTACTGTTTGGTCAGTTCTGTGTCTTCATTCTAAAATGAGCAAATTTGAAGTAAATGTAGAGGGGGTTTGGGGAGATATTTTTTTGTTTAAATTTAACTGTCTTGTTTCATAATGTGCAATATAAGTATATAATTTAAGAGGAAGAAAAGCTCAGATTGGATGGTTATTTTCTTTCTGGAAGCACTTGAAGTTAATTAAACTGTTTCTTAGAAAAACTGCTGTTCATTATCTGCTTTACTCTCTAACTCATAATATGTAATTTGGAGTCACTTTGTTGACTACAGTACAAAGTTAGATGTAAAACTGCAAAGAAGCTTTATGTATTTATTAAGAAGGGGAAGTACTCAGCAAGGGGAAGCAGGTATGGCTTATTTTATCCTGCTGGTGATGGTGAAAGGGTTAAGAGAAATCTCAAGCTGAGGACATTTTGCTTATTCTAGGATTAAAAAAAAGCAAAGAGAACCTTTTTTAATCCTTTTCTACCTCCTGTCCTGACTTCACATACAATGAGATAGTCACACAGCTTACCTGGAGCCATTGAAGGACCTAGCTAGTTCGTGAGCGTATGATTTTGAACAAGTGCTGTCCTCTGCCATGTGCTAGGTCTTTCAGGAAAAGTGCAACATTTAATATAGCTACAAGTTTTCAAAGTTAAAGTGTTTAGTATATGACTGAGGAACTTGAAAAATAGTATCATTATATGGAGTTGATACAAAACTAGGAGGAATGGGAAATACATGTGAGGGTTGTGATGTTGTTCAGTGGGACCTCTATAGTCTGTGGAGAGTTGGCCAGAGGAAACATCGATGTGGGGCAGTGCAGGGTGCTGGACCTGGGGAGGAAAAACCCCAATCCCAGCACAGGCTGGGCTGTGACCTACTGGAGAGCAGCTCTGCAGAACAGGACCTGGGAGTCTTGCTGCATGGCAAGTTGACAATGAGCCAGCAGGCCAAGGGAGGTGATCCTGCTCCCATGCTCGGCCCTGGTGAGGCCACGTCTGGAGTGCTGTGTCCAGTTCTGGGCTCCTCAGCACAAGGCAAGGAGGGAATAGAGAGGGTCCAGTGAAGGTCACCGAAGATGATGAGAGGTCTGGAGCATCTCTCTAAAGAGGTGAGACTGAGGGAGCTGGGGATGCTTAGTCTGCACAAAAGAAGACTGATAGGGGATCTCATTCATGCATGTATGTACTTCAAAGGTGGGTGTCAGGACAATGGTGCCAGACTCTTTCCAGTGATGCCCAATGACAGAATGAGGAGCAATGGCCATAAACTAAATTACAAGATGTTCCACCTCAAGATGAAGAAGAACTTATGTTGAAGATGCCAGAGAAGGCTTCCAAGGGAGGTCGTGGAGCTTCCCTTTTTGGACACATTCCAAACACACCTGGATGCACTCCTATCCTGCCTCTGGATACCAGGCTATTTAGGTGACCCTGCCTTGGCAGGGCATTTGGACTAAGAGCTGTCGTTCCGATTGGGAACGGCTAGTAAGAACGACACTGGACTCTCAAGGGAGTCACAACACGAGAATTCCCTAGTTTATTGCTTCAGGCCTGTCTTATAGACAGATACGTGGAAAGTACAGAAAAGAAACTCTTATTGGCTAGCAAAGTGCTACATCACCATCATTGGTCAGGGGCACTCTGCCCCCCTGACTCTCTCCTGCAAGGGAAAACAAGAGGACAGATAAACAACACCTGGCAGTTGTTTTCTGTCTCTGAGGATTGTTTTGAAATCCTCCTTTGAATTCCCAGGCTAGCTTCTCAGGCAGGACTGAGAGGCCATGGGCCTGCATTTTCTGCAGCTCCCTGCAGCCTGTTCCAAAGCTAGCATCTATAAAGAGCAGCACTCTTAAGTACTACACCATCCCTTCCAAGCTGTTAAAGAAACTAAAGGCTGTTATAAATCTTGTCAATATGGTGTTTATACTGAGCACCCAATATTATCTACTTATCTACCCAAATATTATCTACTTATTATCAAGTAGATAATATTTCACACATACCTGCTGTGAAAATGTAGCAGGTTTCATTAAGAAATGTCTTGTTCTTTTCCCTATTCCTGTGAAAGAGTGTGCAGGTTAGGTGCCAGGGCACAAAAGGTGAGATTCCTGGTTTGAGCATATCTTTTCTTCCATGGAGCTTCAATATTATTCCACTAAGGTGTGCTGTCTCGTGGCAACAGCTTTTGTGTGTAAAATACATATTTATGCCTGTTTGGTCAATCTCATCAGTTCCCACCTTCTCAAAGATGTAGAGAAATTAAAAGGAAGTTTTCAAAACAGCACTTTTTACATGGTTTGATATTTTCAATGCTATCATGCTTGAAAAGGAGACATAAATGTTTCAAAAACTATTATCTCTCACTTTGCATTGTACAGGCAAATTGAGTTATTTTAAGAAAGCTTAATGGAGAAAAAATTAATTTGGTGCAGATGATTAGAAGTATTCAGGTTCATTTCTCAGGCTAAAACACTGTACATATCCAAAGATGGAATGAGACTGTGAGCAATTATTCTTAGTTATCAATCCTTCAGTAGTAAAGCTAACTCTGTGAGGTAACTCTTTAGGATGTAAGATTTTGCATATGATTGTTTTCTAGAATAAATACTTTTAGAAAATTATATGCCCATCACTGGTGTATGAAGTAGGATTCTCCTGATTAATACCATTTAGATGCAGACATTTTTTGTAAGCTGGCTTTTGGATTTTGGTCAAAGGAATCTTGAGGTTTACACCTGATCAATTGGAAATGGTATCTGATTTAGGCTAACCTAAACATATCTCCCGGTATTACAGATTGTCTTGGAGTTTAGACATGTAGCTTAATGGACTGAATATTATTCCCAGTTATATATTTGCAAAACGTGTTAGTGTTCGACAGGCTTGTTGCTGAACATCATGGTAATTCCAGTGATTAGGCATGTAAACGTTGGACTTTTTTCTGATTATAGCAAGCTTTCCTTTCTAAGCATACATGGGTGAACTGATGATGTTTTTTACCCAGACTAATCTGAAATCCTTAATATATCTCATCAGTCTGAGAGTGACTAGAATTTCTAATACCAAATTTTTATTTTGCTTTACTTCAATGTAGTGCTGCTCATAGGAGCTGGCATTCAGCTTTGCAATGATTTATCTTGCTGTCTTGATTCATAGCTGTACCAGTCAGGAGGCGGAACTGTAACAGAAGAGGATTTAGCTTGTATTCTCAAGACTGCCATGGGCGTGTCACAAATTGATGTTACACATCTTTTTAGAGCTGTAGATGAAGAAGAAAAAGGAAAGATTACGTATGGTAAGTAATTATATATGGTAAGTAATGCATCTGAACTGTCACAAAATGTCAAAATTACCTGCACTCATGTTGACAAAGCAGTTACATTGTTATTAAACTCTACCTTTTTTTAATTGGCTTGGTGACTTCAATACTGATAACAGCACTGCAAACAAAGTCAATTTTCATTTGGAAAAACAAGTTTCACCTCTGGTAGCAAATGCCACGTTTGCATGTTTTCAGTTTTCCCTTCCACATCAAGCCACATAATACGAGGATTAGCTCCTTCAACATATTCTGTTCTGTGACTTTCATGTATGCAAATGTGTATTTTTAAAGAAAGCTGCCTTAGCTCTGTCTTGTTGTTTTGTCTCTTGTGTCTGGGAGTAGGAAATGAGGGGGTTAACCAGGCTTCCTATTCTATAGTGTGTAATGTAGGTGGAATGGAGGCGAGAAAGTTGCATTTGAAAAATTGAGACCTGGGTGAATAGATTGTGCTAGGAGTCAGAGTACTTACATGTTATTTCAGATTTTTTATGCTTTATGCAGTAAGGGTCTAAATTTAGTTGTATCATTTGAGTATGAACTGAGTTGTTAATAGCCAATATACTAAGTATCTCCAGTAGAGGTGCTTATGATACACCCTGTTCTAATTGTTTTGCCTCAGGATTATCAGAATGTATTTAATTTGTAAAAATTTTGCAAAATAATACATCAGTGATAGTAAATCATAGTTTCTACACTAGTAATTCCTCTGTTTCAATCATACAATATGTATGTAAACCTTCAAATACATTAATATTTTAGAGTTACTGAAATCAGTATCATTGTCACTGTCCTTTCCTTTTTTCCTGACTACTGTCTTGTCTCCTTGCTTCCTTCCTGCTGTATTACCCCTTTCCTTTCTGTGCCTCTTATCTGTCACATCCCCAGCATTTCCACATCCATCCTGCCCGTTGCCTTTTTCCTACTTATCACTGTTATGTTGCTTCTCATCTTCTAACTCATAATGTGCAGTGACTCAGCTCTTGCCCCCACCTCCCAATCACCAGCTTCAAAAATACCAGCACAAATCTTAAACTGGTGTAAGTGTAGCAGAATTTTAATTTGGTACATTTCATTGTTTGAGAATAGCTAAATTTGTAGTCATGTGCAAGTAAACTCAGACCAGGTCATGTGAGTTACCAAAGAATTCATTTTTTAATATTAATTTTTAATAGTTGTGTTTAATCTGCACTTTTCCCCTAAGTGGTCATTGTATGTTCCCATCACAAGAAAATCTGGACCACCAAACCACAGCAATGGCTGCTGGAGTGCTTGGCTCTCATTTTCACTATTTTATGTCCTGTACTCAGGAATAGTCTTTTGTGATGCAACACAAAGTAGCTAGTAAGATGGTGTTTACATAATTTTTTTCTGAGAGAAGTGCTCATTTTATAGTACAAACATGTCCTTTTAACATATCTGAAAGTTTAATAGTGGGAGTAAATGTCCAAGTTAGTAGATTAGGGAATTAAAGTTGCTAATAAACTTTTGGCATTGCATTTCTGTCTTGAAAGTTGCTGCCATCAATATTCAACCTCTCGCCTTTCCTGAGAATATGTGGAACTTCATACATGCTCATTTTGTTGCACTTACTAGAAAGGAGAGGTGAATAAACTTGCAGACCATGTGGTTCTGAAGATACGTGGTTCTCAAAAATTCTGATTTTTCTGAAGAGAAATCAAAACATTGGATCTGGTGGAAATAACATTATTTTGGATACACACAGCTGAGGTCTACTGACAATCTCCTTTCTAAGGTGTTGGAATTTAAAGCAGGAATATTGAGTCTTACTTATAAGAACGAAAGATAAAATACCTAAAGTATCAACCTAATTGAAGCCACAGATCTCATCCCAGAGGAAAAGCTCAGGTTGCAGGTAAACAGAATAGCCAAGAGCAAAATCAAGATTATGTAACTAGATTGGTAATTGCCAATCTGAATAGCTGGAAATCTGGATTTTTGTTGCATGGTTGAAAGCACACTGGAGATCTTATATATCGGTTCTTATAAGCATTGTGCAGTTGGCTTAGTTGTTCAGATGCACTCTGATTGCAAAGCTTATCCTTTCAGTCTAATATAGACAGAGGCAAAATTTATTAGACTTAAAATGTGATTCTGGAGGGTTTGGTTAAGTTCTCTACTCTCTAGGAGGGTATGTCAAATTCTAGGAAACTCTCCACCAGCTCTTGATAGACAATTCAGATTGTGAAAGTGTTCTGAAGACTAGTTTCTGGCTTGCTGTAGCCAGAAAAAAAGGGGGAATTGGCCATACTTGGACTACCTGTATAGATGAAGAATCAGGGAAGGAAGAATTATTTTCTTAATTATATATTAACCACAGGATTATCCTATTATTTAGCTTAGTGGAAACAAAAGCTAGAGAAGATTAATGAACATAGAGCTTCCAGGAGGAGCATCAAGTAGTAGGAGGGTGTTTCAAGGGTAGGAGAAAAAATTCTTGAAGTTCTTGTAGTACATATGCATACTTAATGCAAAGATATAGGCATGAGTCTTAACTCTACTTTGAGTTCTTTCTTCCTTTATGTCTCTTTGTTTTTAGTAGAGGTGGGAAGCAAAATCACCTTTTTCCCGAGGTTAATGACTGAGGTGATATTTTCCTTCAGTCTAATGCTTAACAGTTGCTTTCAGTTTGAGCTCCAAGATGAGACCTGTAATGAGAAGTAATGCTGGAATAGTTGGTTCTTTCTACATCACCTTTTTTCACGTTTCTGATGTATAAGGCAAATGGGATTCCAAACACTTTCAATTGCACTCTGCTGAGTACAATGTCAATAAATATTCCTTAATACTTTCAGGACTTATTTCAGAAGGACCCAAAATGTCAGCTTACTGAGATCTATCCAAAATGTTACTCTGTTGAGTTTGGATTCCCCTTTCCTCCTGAAAACTTGATCATTTATATGATCCATATTATGTAGCCTGTGGTACATAATTTTCAAAGTTTTTCAACATAGATGGTAATGTTGGTTTTCATGACCTAAGCTTCATCAACTTTTGTTGAAGTTACAGGTGCAGAATGCTTTAGATCCATATAAACTGTGGATAAAGGGTACCCACTTCTTTGTGAGTGGAAGGATAAAGTTACGTTTATTGCCTTCTCCTTGCCTTCAGTTCAGAGGCAGGGTTGCCCTACAATTTCAGTACTCCTGTGAGCCATATGGCATTCCCTTTCTTTCTTGCCCTTTGCAGTACTGAAAAATCATGTCACCTCAGAGTGGCAGAGAGGGAAAGCCGCAGTGTTTCCCTTCTTCCATACCAGCCTAGTTGTAGGAGGAACTGGGCTTCACTCTTTTGAAAGGCTTCTTCAGGTGTCATCTGCTCTGCACTTCAGGGAATTCACATCATCATCCGATCATGAGTTCTGGGATAGCACAGTGAATTTGAGTGGGAGGTGTGTGATACACTGTAGGTGACTGAATCAGTGAAAACATTCACACCCGGATTTTTCTAGTGTCAGTTTACATTATAAGAACAGCTTCTTGTTGCTTGGATCCTGTACGGTATCTTATGTTCAAATCCTGTCCGAAAAAAGTCATATGGACAAATTGAGATAAAGTTTGTGTCTGATTTTCAACACAAAATGTTACTTCTTGATGCTAAGGATTCCCCACTCCCCCAAGAACTAATTGGTTTTTTGTATTATCTTATTAAAATCAGGATTTTTTTCCTGAGTTATAAATTATTTCCTCAATATTATTCTCTAAAATATTGGGACTTTTAAAATATTGAAAGCGGAAGGCAGCAATGACAGCCGCTGTTAGGTTGAAGCAAACTATGAGTGCAAAGCATTAAAGGGCATGTTTGCCAGAGTTTTAAGAATTTAAGAAATGACTACACTTGATGTTCAGTGATCTTCAGCTGGAGGGCTTCAGTGCTTCCCCAGTGAATAGTGAAATGCTATGTCAGGGCATGTGGTGCTCATCATGCATTTTAATGCAAATCTGAGCCTGTTTACCCTTCATACAGCTAATCTCTGCCCTGAAGTGTTTTCAGAGGGCTTAGATAACTCTTTGCAGCATCTCAGCTCTGTGAATATGGTAAACTTATGCTGAGAAGCTAAAACAAGCACTGGGGATAGCATTATGTTAACTGCTGCTATTTTTCTCCAAAGAAATCATGTGATTATATATGTGTAAGTATTCAAATTTAGCACCCTTCTGTTTCAAAGAGCTGATTCTGTGCAACAACAATTTTTTTTTTAGATGACTTCTACACATTTGCTGTGTTGCACCCACACTTTGCAGAAGACTATCTCTATGCTGATCATATGGGAGCTGAGAGTGGCTTGGAGACTTCATCTCTTTCTGCTCCTAATGGTATCTGTACTGACTTCAGCCCTGACAGTAGTGGAGATCGAAAGAAGCCCTTGCAGAAGAAACTAAATTAACACTACAACTGTTACCTTCCTCTCCTGGTGAGAGGGTTGTATTTTCTTGGGATTTTCATAAGTCACTCCAATTATACAACAAATATCAGTTTTGTGTGTGAAAGTTCTACCTGAATACCATCCTTTGAATCATATGTGCTATATTTAACAACATGTTCCAGGTTACTTTGGGAAGGGTGTTTTTATTTTTTTTGAAAAGGTCTTTGAAAGGCAAAAATGTGAATGTGCTTCATTGTTAATGTTCATATTTAAAAGGAAGCGGCACAACTTATTTATAGTCCATTGGCTAGTTCCATGTACAAAGTGTCGCACAAACTGTGCATGTATAAAGAAACTGTAGCTACTATGGTGTAAAGTGCACTTTGGTGATTAGTGTTTTCCCTAGTTATGGGGATGTTTATCTGGGGCCAAACTGTGCTGTCCATATCTGAATAGTCAGTCTTTCAGTGGGATTATTCTCTTGAGCAAGGCAAGCATACTTTGGCCCTTTGTTTTGGTTTCAGTGAACAGTTTGGAAACAGTAATACAAAAACTTGCTAAGGATTACTTTTTATTTTTATTGCTGAATGATGAAATTGTTTCTCTTTCCATGGTAGAATGAAAAGGAAAGGCTCCTTATCCCTCACCCCCCAACACTTTTCTACTGTAATCTTCCGGATGCAATTAAACATGAATTCTTTCCAAACTGACATGCCACATACTGCTTGAAAATACATAACTGAACTATTTGTGCTTTTGTCTTATAACCAGCTCAAATCATATCCACACAACATTTTATGGGAGATGTTTACAGAGCTACATGTGATTTAGATTTATCAGGAATCACAGGTTTCTTCTGTAGCAAGCCTGTACAGATAACATAGCATGGAATACATCATGAAAACCTTGGTGTATCAGCACAAGTTGGAAAAGGTTGCAGTCACTTCAAAGGCCAAGCCAGCAACAAGTTTCAGACCATCCTGAAGAAGTGCTAGTTAAATCTCTATAGCAACATTACATATACTTCATAGAACATATATGAAGATTAGAATAGCTTAGAAGTGTTAAAAAAAATACCAAACTTGTATTAGTAATACTTATGTTTCCTTTTGTAAAGCCAGATGCCTTAACTGCTACTGGAGGTCTCAGAGAAAAATCTAGATTATTATTATTAAGCCACAGAGCTTCATTGATTAGAAAACGTGACAAAAGCCTCAAGGAGTAGGAAGGAGAACTCTGTCACAAAATAACTGTGATGGCATCTCTGCTTCCAGACAAAAAATTTTTCAAGTCATTTCTGACTAGTTTTGTAGGGTTTTATGCATGGAAAACTATTGAGATTTGAGTCTTCCACAAAGGAATTTAAAGCTAGATTTGAAAGGGAATAATTTTAGCTAAGGACATCTGTTTGTACCACGTGCTTTTATAACTATTTCTTAAATAGCAGGAGGTGTTTTAAAGCTCATTAGGGTATTGGAATGTGTCCTTAGAAATCCCGAACTGTATGTGGCAGGTCTCCAAACTAGAACTGGCTTTAATAAAGAGGGTAGGAGGAAAAAATGTAAGAAAACATGCTTCATGGGGGTATGTGGAGGTAATAATTAAATATTTGATTTATCTAGGTAACAAAAGCCAAGCTCACAGGGCAGCAGCAGACTGGGAAGATTTGAATTAGAACTGATCATGGAAAAGAGGAGAAATTTATTGAAGAAGTAAGGCAGATGAGGAGCTACACTTAACTAGAAATAGTCAGCTGCACAGAAGAGGGAGTGAGTATTAGTGTGCTATATCTTGAGGCAGGGATGGCACAGAATATGTCAAACTGAGCATTGTTAACTTGTTGCTGAAGAAAAGATGTTCGTGATAGAGGGATGCATCAACATGTGGCCTGTGAGAAGCAGGGTGGTATTTCTACATTACCAAGATGTGATAAGGTCTTACCTGAGGTATCTGTTCATACTGGGGCACCTGAGAGAGATGGGTGTAACTGAATAAAGTGTGGAAGACAAAAAAGCACTCAAAAAGTGATCAAAAGTATGCTTTAATCCAAAGAAGAGGAGACTGAAGGGAGATGTGAACAGTCTTTAAATATGGAAAAAGTTGGTATAGAGAAAATAGGAACTCTTCTCCACAAGAATGGTAGATGCTGGTTATTAATTGAAAATGCAAGTTAAGCATTAGGAAAAGTCTCTTACAATACACCTTGTTAAGCTGTGGGAGAAGGGTTTTTTCAGGTGTGGTGAAAAGCCTGCCTTCCTTCACTGGAGTTTTTGAAAACAGAAGACAGCTACAGTAGAGACACTTGATTTTGTTGATCACACCCCAGGGTTACAGGGAGCTGTCCCTGAGGTCTGTTCTCTGTAGTTATTACAGTATGTGAGGGAAGACAGGCGTAGTCTGGGCATACTGTATCTCTACAAGAATACGGCACATGGCTCGAGCTGGCTGTGTAAGATACTTTTGCTTTGTACGTGAGCTTCGGAATCTGAGAATGCTGGGAAGGAGAAACTTCCCCAATACGTATCTGAAGAGAAGAAAGAGGTGAGCTTAGAAACCCATGGACAACTCTGAAGTGAGAGAAGCTCTAAAGGAAGAGGTACATTGACCACATCTGTGAAAGAGTAAAGAAAGCTGATTGAAGTTGGCTGAATACGAGTGTGTCTAATTTTCACATATGGCATGGGTAACTTGGGGGTCTGTTTTATGAAAGCCCATCAGTTCGTTGACTTCTTTTTTTTTTATTTGAGGTGTTTTGTTATTGTGGTGAGTGTAATAGCTGTACTTGTGTGCACCTAAGCTGTACAGAGTACACTGAAAGGCACTGCAGCCTGTAGTAGATGGGCCATTAAACAGGTGCCACGTTGTGTGGTGAAGAGGCACTGAAAGTCCAGTGTACCACTGAGCTCAGTCCAGAGCTGCTGCTGAAGAAGGCTGGTGATCAACACAAGTCACAAGCAAGTACTCTTGGTGGATTAAAACTCATATACAAATTGGTGGATTAAATAATTTAAAAAAAAAAGGCATAAGACAAAACAGATTCTGAAAGGAAATGTGATTCTCCCTCTTTTGAGAAACTACTGAATCAGATATAATAGGAGGAATGATAGGATTAAGGATCAGCCTGCATGGAAACATTGTTAGATCACATACCCCATCACAAAAGTTGAGATTAATTAATACAACTCCAGTAATTTTAGCATTTGTAGTGTATAATATTGTATACTGCCTTGTAGTGAGAGAGAAGCCACATTACCACAGGGTGGTAAACTCAGGCCCTTGAGGGCCAAGGCCCATAACACATCACATGACTGCAGCAATACATGTTACAACTCATCTGTCAAACCCCAACTGCAGAAGTGTTTCAGTAGTTCCCAATGAGAAGCCTTTATAGAGGCATCTGAATGTGCAACAGCTGAGTTGTGACAGTTTCTGTGACTTGATGTAAAGTCAGAGTAGAAGTGAAAACTTCCTTTTCCCCTTCACCAAACGTTGATGCTTTCCATTAAAATAGTGATTTTATAGACAGATGGTTATATTTAAACAGGTAGTATAAACACCCTCTAAATTTACAAGGAGACATATGCAGAAATTACTTTGGTTCTTTGCAACTGTTTAACTTAAATGATCCTTACACAGAAAATGCCAGGGGTGTGAGGCATTTGACATTTCTGATGATCATTTTTGTACTCTTATGTAACACTGTCATCTCTTGCCAGTAGAGTTCTTGCATCACCCAGAATGAATTTTTACATATTGAGTGAGATACTCAGCCAAGGCTGGTTATCTCTTCTCACATGCCTGAACAAATATTTAAAGTAACCCAGAAAACTACAAAATCCAAAATATTTGAAGTTCTGGGGGGTTGGTTTGGTTTTTTTGTTGTTTCATTTATATTTTTTCAAACATAACAAAACCCCACTAAGACCAAACAAATGCTTAGTAGGTGCAAAGCATGTTTAAACCACTGTCTCTAGAAAAGTATGGCAAGTGTTATTACAGATTTTTTGGGGAGTCTGTTGCTATAGCAGATAAATTTTAAATGCTTCGTAGGAAATTTATAAGCTGCCTGCAGAAACTAGACTGTACACTTAGTTTTATATTAATTAATTGCACTATATGTTTTGATGCATTTATTGTAGCTAGCATGATCTAGGTATGATAAATAGCAACCAGACCTGTGTATTTACTAATCCCATTTTCAAGGTATAAATCCTTAGGTCGCAGGGGTTGAAAAGGACACGTGTGCAGCAGGGAAGTGATGCAACCTCTTTAGTGACACAGCTGCCAGAAGTAAGTAGCTAAGTGTCACACAGAGCTCTTTATTAATATCTTCATGCAAGCTGAATACCTCTGTTAGCTAATTTAGGCCTAGGGGTGGTTGGAGTATTTTTGTATTCTTAAAATGTAGTAAATGTTTTCGTGGAAAAGTCATTGTTGCAATTCAACATCTGATGTATTTTTAAAGTGGGTGTGGCTTTATTTATTTATGAGTTCCCTGATAAGTTCATCTTTGGTATTGCCTTTAAATTGTTTTTTCTACTTTTATATTATCATGTAGTAATTATTGCTTTTTAATTGACTGGTTTTTTCACCTGCTCTCTGCTCCTTCAAAATTACATTCAAAAATAGCATTCTCATTGAAGGACAAATTAAAAAAACAAACAAACAAACCTGCCCTGATTTGAAAAAATACTACTTGCAGAACTGTAGTTGAATATGCTGTAGATCCTGTGATCTCAGGAAAAAAAAATCCGTAAGCACAGCTTTGTGTATGTTACGGGACTAAACTAGGCTGGAGGAAAAACAAAATTCTGATTAAAAGCTCTAACCAACTAAGTTCAATTTTTCTTTAGGTCAGAGTGTGGGTCATAAGATTTTCTGAAATGTTGCATTTGACTTAATGTGAAGTCTCTGGTTTTTTCCTCTAGCAGAGCTTTCATGAGTGCTCTAGAAAAAGGAAATGATAAATACTCTGGTCAAGCATTCTACATTAGTAAAATTCAAATTTGGGTCCTAAAACCATCTTGAGGCACAAAACTTCCCTGTGAACCAGGCACTTCAAATAGTTTGCTAATTTTTAGGTATCTGAACTTCAGCTGATTAGGAAAACTTAAATTAATAAATTATCCTGAATAGATTATTACAAAAAAAAAAAAAAAAAAGGAAGAATACAAAATAGGAAGTAAGAGTTAGTTACTAATTAATTAAATTAATAATTGGTCAGTCCAGCAAAACTGCAAGATCTGTTTCACATATGAGCAGGAAGGCTGACATGGTCATTCAGATAATTTTGCTATCCTGACTAGGTAGTATTTAAGCCAGGCGGTCTTTACTCAGAGTGATTACTGCAGCAACTTGAAGGTACCGCAACATCCCAGTAATGTCTTGGTCACTGGCAGTGAGATTTCATCTTCTCACCCTGCCTTTTTTCTTTGAATTATGGAGAAAAGTATTCAAACCATGATAGGAACCCTGTAAGATCTTCTTAATAAGGTAAAAACCCTCCAGCACCACCTCAGAGGCACAAAGGTGATCATTCTGTGGAATAGTTATGGTGGGGAACTGGGTATACAATGCTGGTCACCAACATCTTGTGGTCAAACCATGTGTAAATAGCAATAGAGAGGTAAAACTACTGAGAGAACTCAGCAGCAAACAGGATATCCTTTAGATGTGTTTGAACTTGAGTCTGTGAGTATTTCCTGCATCTCATAGTGCTCAAGTCGAGAGAGTTTCTTTCTCTAGGAAGCACTTCAGATTTCTTTCAAGATAATATTTACTTTGACTTCTTCACGTGGAAGAGTGATTTGTTTTGTAGAAAGCAGCTTCTTTTTCCCCTGATGGTGTGGTGTGCTTTATCGTGTGTAATGTGATTAAACTGAAGTGGGTGATACCAAGAGAGCAGAGGATATAAGAGGCTTATAAAATAGAGGGTTTATGTTTCTGTGAGATATGCTGAGACATTTCTGCACAGTAGTTGACACTGCCTAGATTGTCTTGCAAGTTCGTTATCCAAAATCATTTTACTAGTTGGTGATTTTACTAGTGTGATGGTAGTGGCTGTTTATTCCACTTTCCCTAGCAGGATGGCAGAGCAGAGCACTCCCGTGCAGGCCAGCCTTGGGGTATAGATGTATTTGTAGTTTTCAGATGATCAGTCTCTGGGAATAGAAGCAGTAGAATCACCTTAACACTGATTGCACTTCAGTAAGTTATTCCTATTACACAACTTAGCTCTTTGGGGTATTTTTTTATTAACACAGTTATCATGCTTTATTCTGAGCTAAGTTGCACAGAGCCATATGAATATCAGAGCTCACTTGAGATAGCTTGAGCATCTCAAAAAAGGTGCTGTATGATAATCTGTTGATAGAGTGTTACATTTCAATTTTTTCACGTTGACCAAAAATGTTAGAAGCAAGAGAAAAAACGTCATCACTTCTGTAATACTCTATACTGTCAATGGGGTGTTATTTAAGAGTGACAGTTCTGAGCCAAAGTCAGCTGAAGGAGAATCAGGCTGGACTTCTGATCCCAAACCAGCAAGTAGAAAATCTCATGTGTGCCCAGCATGGCAGCAAAGCTTTCACTCTGCAGATGGCCTTTTCCCACAGTAAAGAAGGCTCTTTTCCACCTCTTGGGCTGCTGAATTCAGTTTTGTGTATCCCTAGTTCTTGCTTGTGCTGACTGTTCTTTGTAGGTTTGTTGCAGCCAGAGGGAGACCCTGCTGCCTCTTAAGCTGAAGTGACATTCATGGACTTTTCTCCCTGAGCCAGGAGCAGCAGGTGAATATTCAAGTCCTCTTCTGGTAATGTTACCCAAAACTAAAAGCCCATGTACTATTTTAGCTTGTGCCTGCCATCAGGTACAGAACTGCTTTTTCTTTTCATACGCTTCAACTATTGCAGGTGTGTCCAGGTGAACAGCTTATGAGATTCTCCTTGTTCCAGTGAGTAAGAAGTTAAATTTAGAAATATTGGAAGTTTACAGTGAAACCTTGGATTGACTCCTGACTCGCTATTATATATATATATATATATATATATATATATGTATATATCACTTTTACTGTGAGCCTGTTCACTTCCATGTTCCAAATGCAGGATCTATAAATGTAATTGAAAACAAAGTCTCCTCATGGATACTGAAGAAGCTGACACTCAGACACTTTTCATCCTACCATGGTACTGGAAATTAAATTCATCTGACAATAGGTAGTTTCTAAGTCTACGAATGTATATGGGGAAAACCCAAATACATGTCTTTTATTCACTATCCAGCATGAAGACAATTTTGTATTTTCAATGCTAAAGAAATAAACTTTGAAAGATCTTTTATGGCCTAATTATATATTTTTTTGTCCTATGTTTCCTTTTATAATGAACTTCAAGCAAAATATTTCTTATATTTCAAAAACTACATTTAGGTTAGCCAGTGCTGTATTTTCCAGACAACAAAAGCAGTTTTAAAGTAAACATCTAAAAATGAAATTGTATTTTTAAATATGTGAATTAGAATTCCTTTAAATTAAACATGTCTCCTTAGCAACTGTATATACTTAGACAAAAAGCAAACCCATTGCAGCTGCTTGTCTCTATAGCTGTTTGTGTTTGGTGATTTGTTTATATTGCTTTTTCAGATTGCTCTAAGGGTATTAAGAGTCCATGTAAATCAGCAATGTTAGAAATAGAAGTCAGAAGTGAATTTCTTTAGAAGTGGTAGAATTTGTTTCCTGGAAGAGGACCAAGAGTAAGCATCAGCTAACCTCGTATTATGTACTATACTACTTAAATGTTGCAGCATTGTGCTGAAAGTATTTGACATCCATTCACTGGGACCACTTTCTAAACTTTTTTATAATTCCCAGCATCTCTCCAGGTGTGTGAGACATTTCTAATTTGATCACAGGTACTAGTTCATATTCTTTTGGAAGAGTAAAATTGAGTAATCAACAAGCTGAGAAATAACTCAGAAAAAAAATAATTTTGATCTCTGTTGTTAAACTTGCATTGAGGATATCATTTTTATATTTTGGGGGAAAAAAAGATTGCTATGCTTTTGAACACACTTGAAACTTGAAATGCAAAACTGAAAAAGTTAATACTGAAATGATCACATTTTGGAATTTTTTTGTACTGCTACTGAATCCAAGTTAGGCACTGCCATGAAAAGGATGCTTTTGCTGGAAACCTGTTTTGACAGAGCAGGAAGCTGTTTTGTAGGAATTCACTTGTGAGGTTTCACATGGTTGTTCCGTCAGTGGTACAACTTCTGTTGCTGGCTTCAAGGCTGCTCAAACAGACCTGGTGTGTTTAAATAAGAAAAGGTTTTACTGTAAGAGCCCTTGGATGTGCAGTGTAAACCTGTAACAATATATAGTGCTACTGGATAATAATGATCTAAATGCATATTTTCTGCTGTAAATTTCCCTCATGTGGCTCCAATGATATGTGTACATAGACTATTACCTTTGCACTGAACTGACTGTACTTCATAAAAAGAAGAGCAAAAGCAAGTATTGTACTAAAGATGACCATACCTTGTGGCTCCAATTGTGGAAATACTTTTGCAAAACAAAAGGTGTAGCTTCAGTGTTATAAATTTGATTTTTATATTTTTTATTAACATGCATGGAAGACTAAGGATAATATTTTTTAAAAATGAACTTGGTTTTTGTACATTTTTTCAATGTTTAAAACTATATGATTTAACATTACCTCTGAATGCCAGTGATCAGTAAATTTTTAAAGGAAATACCTCAATTTGAGCATTCTTCTCTTGTTACTTGTCTGATAGGTTAAAATGGACTATAGGGTGTGATGAAGTGAGCATATGATGTAGGTGCTTAAACTGCTATAGGAGGTGTACAATGATTTACTGAATGGGACCTAAATGATACACTACAAGTGTTGAGTGCAATTCTGCAGTCATGGTTCATTCTGCCCAACTGGACATTGTCCTCATGAATGGCTTGTAAATTAAATTTTCAGGTTGAAGCCAAATTAAAAAATGAAACAAAAAAACTTGGTTTCCTCTGGATTTTTCTTTCCAGTTTTTTTTTTTGTTGTTTTTTTTTTTTAACAACAGGGTTTACAATAAGGGAAAGGATACAAACCATAATTGTGAGTAAGACTGAGTCCATGTATGTTTAGGCATGCTTTGTTGATGTGTGTTCTCTGTGTCAGTTTGTATAGGAAAAGAGTGTTTATCTGACTGGGAGGATGGAATACAGGGGTTTAAAGGGGGAGGAAGGGGTAAAAATAGAAAGAGAAAAAACAATATCCCTCTGTGACGGCGATATTGTCTCCAGTTCTATTTTGTGTGCTTAAAGAAGAACAAAGATCAAAAAATATTCAGAAAAGGTACTTCAGAATTCCAGGAGAAGAAGTCTGTCTAAATTAGACTGAATTAGCTCTGGCTGCATTTTTTTT